GGCTTGCTTTGATATCTTTAATGTACACCATCCCCAAGCTCTTCTTCATCTAGGTGAAGAAACTAAGCAGTGGGTTCTGATGCAACCTCCTCATTGTAACATACCAGAGCAATCTTGGAGGTAGTAAGGGCTGCTTATCCACCTGGCTGAAATCTGGCTTTGCCCCTAGATCTGCACAGCTCTGTACCCTTATTGCAGACTTTCAGGTCCTTGTGAGTAAGAATGGGCCCAGGATGCAAGGCATGAAAATGTTTCAGGGATCCTAGAGCCTGATATGTCAAAATAACTCTAATGGGTGAACTATTGCCTACCAAGGCAGAGCTTAGCAGGCGCGATGTTGCAATCCAGTTTCCAGATCCTAGGCCTTCTATTGGTGGTTAATCTGGGACCTGAGGTTCTTGCTTCCCAGGACTTCAAGAATTGTTGTCAGGAACACAGAGAATGAGGCCTACAATGCTGGGCTGGTGCTGGGGTATATGTGGGGGACCTTCTCACTGGTTCCCCCAACTTTATTATATGTGTTGTTGTTAATTTATGAGTTTCTTTATGACATTCTTATTATTTTGCTTCTTCTAACCCTTCTTCCTTTCTTTCCACTATTTTTTCCTTCTCTCTTGGCCTTGACTCATCAGTCGGGTTGACTTTTTCTCTCATACTTGTCCTCTCAGCTGGTGAATTGTCATGATACATAAATGGGAAATGGAAAATATTGATTTGCCTTGTATAAAGCCTGCCAAAATTTTCTTCGTCCCTTCATCAAATACCAGGGAAATAATATAGTGAGTAATAGACTCCAATAGTCATCTGAGATTCAGGACACATGGTGTAGATAGCATTTGCCTGGGGTGATGGGAGAGATATTCAATTTAGTATGTAAAATGATGATATTCCTGAAGAATGACCCTCTATTTTTACATATTCCATTTTTAGCTTTCTTTGGTGTTATAACCCCCAGTGATTAAACTTGTGGTCTGTAAGAAAGAGTAATTGATCCACTTTTTCTCTGGGCTGTTGAGCCATCTCTATTCAAGGTCATGTTATGGTATTAGAGGATTCTCTTAACAGTCTCCTTTTTCAGGCTTTTGAAGGAAAACAAACCAAATAACATAAAACATTTTTAAAAAAGACCCAAATGAAACCATTTCTCATCCTCCTAAATATTATAAGATGCCCAGAGTTTAAATTCCTAAGCAGACTGCTCAGTAAATGCCTTTCTGGCAGCAGCAAGAATATTGGGTCGGATATCACTGGAGCATTTGGCTGTTGAAACACTGCTAACTCTAGCATTTACCAGCTGGGGGATCTTAGGCACATCATCAAATCCCTTTGAACCTCAGTTTTAACATGTGGAAAACGGGTTGGTTAAAGAAACCTATGTTAGAGTGTGATAAGCAGAAGTAATGGGCAAAAAGTGCTTAGCAGAAGAGATTGACATAGCATTAGCATTCAGGTGTCCCCCTCTCACAATGACTCTTCTCTCCTCCCTCTGCCTCCTCCTTCTACCACAGTTCAAAACATAGCTCTATCATGGGGCTGCCTCGGTTGGCTCTTGGCTCCATTGATTCTTGTTAGGACACCTGGGTAAATCCTTCTACCTTTCTGAAGTTGTTTCTGTATCTGGGAATTGATGATGATGATGATGATGATGATGATGATGATGCACACATGTTAAAGTTTTAATGCAGTGTCTAAAGCATAGTGAATGTTCAGTGATCTTCGCTATTATAATATGTTCATTAATATTTTCTCAAGAGTTAGACTTGGGCCCTTGCTGAATTTCTCAGGTGCCGGCAGAATTGAGATGAAGGGCTAGTAACTTATAAAGTTCAGATGAATAGTCAGTGCCTTTGTGTCTTTTTAGAGAAGACAGACTTGATTTGTTTGTAAGGTATAAATGAAATCTTCAGTAATCTCTAGGATCCTCTTCTTCCATCATGGTTCTTCTGCCCAGTTCCCTGGATAATGACACAGAGAGAGAGCTGCCTCAGGCCCCATAGCAGAGTTTGCTATTGAGTGGGTTTGGGGGAGGAAAGCTACTGGTAGTGCAAGGCAGCAAACTGGTTCCTTGCTCGGAACTTCTATACACCCCCTCTCCTCTCCCTACAAAATGAAAATAGACCCAAGAAGCATCACTGCTTAGGATGTTGCCAACCAGTCCCTTTTATGTTTTAGAGTTAGTGGGAATTGGCTGACAATTGTTTAAGAGCAAAAACAGAATCTGGAGTTGATGCTGGGGAAAAGCCAGCATGCAGAGCAGCTAAGAAGTGCCCAAAGACAAACTGCCTGTGTTATAGGTTTTTCTGAGCTAATTTCCATTTAGCTCCTTTGCTAAGCTTGCCTAGGATACAATCTATATACAGTCCATTGTCTTTGCCTTTAGCAAATGTGGACTCTCTAATCACATCAGCTCTTAGTTTGGCTTCTTTCTGCACTAATTAGGCTGAGCCTAATCCATATAAGCTGTACTGTTCCTCTGTGTGTCCCATGGTAACTATCCACACCTTCCCTACAGTGTGTTCCAGCCTCATGACTTGAACGGTAAAAGCTCAAGCCTGGATCTCCCAAGCCACTAGTGCTTTTCCTAACCCAACACTCATAAGCAAATAACAAGGTGTTCTCAGCCCTCAGCACCCTTGGGTGATCAGGTTCTCTCTCAACTTCTCAGCCAGGGTGGCCTGGAGGTGGAGGCTTTCCTGTTCCCTTGATCCCTGGAGCATGGTGACTTACACTGGACTCCAGTTCTTACCCAACAGAGCAACTGCACATTTTCTGAAATGCTTTAAATTAAGGGGGTTATACAAGTCATTACCCCAAGTCATCAAAACAGCAATTAACTGGATAACCATGATATTAAGCCAGCCGTTTCCCTGGGGAATATAAAAATGGAAACCAATGCTACAGTGTGCTGTGTGCAGCCATAAGCTGCCATGAAGCAAAGCTAAATGTTGCAAGTGTCAATTCTGTGAATCTTATAGTTCAGAGAGGCAACAGGCTAGCTGTCCTTTTGGGAGGAAGATGATGGGGACAGAGGGAATGTATAGAAAGAGAGGGGGAA